GCACAGTTCAGGTTGCATGCCGCTCGCTCCCTGAGAGCCCATTAAAGGGAAGATTTAGATGCAGCAGTAGTTGTTGGGATGACTGGAGAGTTAATTCCACGTGGAGGACAATTAACAGCTCCCAGTGAAGCAGAACTGGCTGTGCAGTGAACGCTGTCATGCACAGGTTTTCTTTCCCTGCCCTTCGCAGCCTTTTACTTCACCCGAGCCACCTTGTCTCTCGCTGCCTTCTGCAAAACAAGGAGGTAGACGTCAGGCAGGGAAAGTGCCTGATGCTGTGCAGCACATCAGAGCCGAGCATCTGCTCCAGTTCTCCTTGCAAGACTGCTGATGCCTTGCCCCGAATACAGGCACGTTGGGTTAGGTGGGCCCCACTTGTCCACCATCTAACTGTGTGCAGAGAAGCAAGTCAAAAAAATATAATAATAATAATAATAATAATTAAAAAAAATGAAAATGGGAAATACAGCAGCCTGACCCACAACTTCCTTTAGCTATGTTCTTCCTCACTATCATGGACAAAGCTCTTTTGCTCCAGTGCTCAATGGCACGTAAAGAAATGTTGAGCCACCCAAGCCTGGCCATTGGCATGCCATGAAATAAGAAGATGGTTACACTTAGGGGTATTCAGTATCATCAGCTTCTAAGTGACAGTCTTTAAAGACTCATTCAGTTATGTTTCACACATTTTCACCATGGTATCAGCAATGCAGGCAGAACTGAGATCACTTATAGCACATTTACTTTTCCTACCTGAATGTAAAATGACTTTTTTTTTTACCCCCAGTAGAATAACTGAACTACCAGGGTTTGCAAGATTTGCTCTGGGGGCTCATTGCAGTCTCTTTCAAAAAGTTTTTGCCTTTATGTTACACATTCATGATGTAATTTAAGCTCCACTTCAACTTAGTTTTTGTCTAGGAACGTTTTTCAATTTCATTTCTGTTTTTCCTTAACTGTCAGAAATTTGATTCGAGACTGATAAAAACACCCAATGAGACTGTTATTAGAGAATTTTGCTACAGATTAGCAGTCATATGGAATCTGCTTTAAATTGTATTTTTTAATTAATTTTAAAGGGCAGATTTTTATATTGAATTTCAGTCACTGTAAGTCTACAAATTTACAACTAAAATTAAGGACATCTTTTTACACATTTTATTGTAAGAACTTGCATTATTTGGTCATCTTTCATGGTCATAGCTAATCCAAAGAGTTTGCAGGTTGTGAGCCACTGCTCTAACATACCAGCTGGAAAAAAACAAAAACTGGGACTTTCTACCTGATTTGCCTTGGCAGAGCTGCTGAAGCATACTAGTCTGCCTGTCCCAGCATTCACAGTATCTCTGTTTTCTTGACACTGTATTTTCCCTCAATGGTGTACTAGAGGAAAGTTGGTAACCCCAGGACAATTACACAGACTTGGATACAACCATCAGCCTAATTTATTTAAATATAACCACACTGCAAGTTCTCAATTTACATGAATGCATATTTGCAGTCCTTTCAAACCATTTGGGACAAAGAATAATTTGCCTCAGATGCTACTTTTCTTTGAAGGGACTGAGTTGGTGATTAATTTTTCTTCATAAACAAATTAATTGATTTACTTGTACATCTTCAAAAACTTCATTACATACTCAAAGAGTAAGAGTCATAGTTTCAGGGATGAAAGTCTGTGTCCTTCATATGCCTTTAACAGACTAAACCCTGATTAGGCGCAGAAGAGAAGAGGTGGACTTGTGATTTTTTTGTCTGAGAATGTGGTAATATAATTGAAAATGAAATTTCCATGGTTTAATGAATTTCTTCCTCTCGGTCAGTTTCTCGATTACTCAGTTGTCAGTTATGATAACCCATTTTCAGTTATGTGATCTCACTTTTTGTATTGAGCAATATTTTGGACCCGTCAAACTACCAGTAGCTAGCCAAGTAGCTACATAATCCTTATCTATTTACTCTAATCTCTTCAAATCTCCAACTCTTCAACATTCATCTTTCCTACCTGAAGACCCACTGTGGCTAATCTATACTCAGAGATGGAAATACCTGAGAGTATATTTTTATAAAATTTAATGTTACAGGATTTATGTCTTTCTATGACAATTTACCTCATCTTATAAGATGCTGTGTTGCAAACAAACATGATTAATACTAAACCAGATAGTTAATTCAAAAAAAGCCTGGAAATTAAGCCGTCAGCCACCAGTTTGTTCAACCATTACCCAAACCATGCTTGCCTTAAGATGTCCAATAGCAATTTGCACAGAACAGACACTGTCTTAATTCACTGACATTTAGGTTATTCTTGAGACCATTTTTTCTCTCCTTGTGACTAGGGTTAATATTCAGCTGAAATGTTCTGTTGCTTAGAAACCATCTTGTAATGCTGAATTCATTAATGCTTTTTCCAGTTTGCTCCCAGGAACCTTGTTAGATAGTGTTTCCCACTTTTATCCTAATTAACAGGTACCGAGTGAAAAAAAAAAAAAAGAGGGGGAAAGAAGAAAAAAAAAAAAAAAAGACAAGAAAATGTATTTGAGTAGAGACCATTTCTGCTTATCCTTTGCCAGTCTCTTTCCCTCAGTCTCTGAGGAAACTACGGGCTCTCTGACCTCAAGCTCCTAATTCTTTTTCAATAAATTACAGTATCCTTTGAGCAAAGCAAATGTAATTCTCAGAGTGGTCCTGACACTGCTGACAGTCAAGACAACTCTTTCCATGTACTGGGTGACTGGATTGTAAAGCGAACGGGTGTGCTCTTTCCCCAGAAGCAGGCTGAGTTCAGCGGATGATTTCAACCCCAGCTAGCTCTTCACCACATCTTGATGTTGTGTTTTTTTTTTTTGTTTGTTTTTCTTTGCCAGTACTTCACAAGGTAAAGGTGATGGTGATGTGATGTGCTGGAAAGGCAGGGCAGCATGCACAGGGCTAGCAGGCTGTAGAAGCCCAGCAGCTCTCAAATGGAGCCCCAGGGCAGAAGGGGCATGCCTGAAAGCTGGGCAAATGGTCCTGTCCCCTTCTCTGCTTAGCAGAACTCCTCCTGATCGGCTCTGAATCCATAAGCATCTCATCTCCTGCCATATAGACATGCTTTACGTGCCTCACGCTGCAGGGTGCTCGTTCCAGTTTTCTTCTGCTGATGGGTGCCCTGGAAGCTAAAGGAGAGCACGACCAAGCATATGTGCTGAGATTTGGGGTATTTTTGGACCAAGCTGCAATCTTGGTTGCATCAATAGGCAAGGCATTGATGTCATTAAACTGGTAGTGTCCTTTAACTACCTGCGTATTGTGATCGAAGGCTGGGAGCACTGAGGTTTTTGTAATGTTGACAAGTTTCTGCTTTCAGTTGGGCTTATTTCTTTAAGTTTTGCTGATCCAGAGTTTGTTGTTGTTACTGTTATTGTTTTCTCTTTTTTCTCTCCTTTCTCATTTATTTATTTATTTATTTATTTATTTATTTATTGCCTGTGCTGATCCTACAGCAGTATTTGCCCCAGATGTATTCCAAAATGCACTGGCTAGAAAAGGATATGATATCCTCCCTGATTTTTTTTTCTTTGACCCCAACAATTTAACAGAATTTCAGAAGCAAGATTATTTTCCAATTGAAAAAAAAGTGGATAGAGGGGGGGTTGGTTAATCTAAACTACAAGTGTTGATTACTGCTGCTCCTCCCATACCCCTTCTGCATGCAGAGTGCAAAAATGCCAAGGCAAAGGTGTTTCCATGGTGTTTTCCGCTTAGACCTATACAGTCAATATCCTGCCCTTATAATAGCACAGAGCATGTCAGTATGTGATTTTCAACGCAGATCTGCAAACTCAAAAGTGTTGAGAATATTAGCCAGAGACCTGAATAAAGCACTTACCTTATGGAGGCTCGTGCAAGCTTCTCATGCCCCCAAGATACCAATGACTCCACGCTGATGATAAAGAGCCTTGCTTTTTCCATGTTGAGTGTTCAGGCAGAACTGTTGATGTCACAGACATTTTATTTACTGCCAGCCCTGATTAGATCTACCAATACAATATTTAGCAGGCAGACACAGTATTAAGAGATCTTAAGTGGTCAGGTCCTATTAACAATTTGTCTTTGAAGTCGCCCTGTTAATTGCTTTGTTCTGCTTTAAGGGGCTGTTTCAAATTCTTTTAAAATTCTGTTAAATAGGAAAGACAATATGCTCTCCACTTTGTAAAAGCTAACAGCAGCATTCAGGTAAAATAAAGACAAATTCAAGGAAGTTATTTATGTGCCAAACTAAACTAGAGCCAGTTTTGGCAAATCATTCAACTTAGTTATTTTAATGGCAATCTGAGTAAAATGGTAAAGCTGAAAAGGCATCGGACTTTTTTTTATTCTTTTCTGATTGGGTTGAATTTCTTGAAGGAAAGTGGTTTTGGTTTGTTTCTTGAATAGTAAATACAGTATGGTCAATTTAGTTCAGATGTTTCATGAATGTAGGTCAATTCATTCCATCATTTTAGCTTAAGAAAATGAAAATTCTGAGATAAAAGCAAATATTTGGGGATATATACAGTTTTACTGAAGAAAAAAAAAGTTGAAAGAAACTTCCTTTTTAGCTCACTGAAAATCCTTCATTTGAAGCATGGCAATTTACAAGTTTACCTTTTGTTTATTGAAAAAGTTTTTAAAATATATACTTTGGATTAGCCTGTTCTAAATCTCTTTTCCGATCTTGCAGAACTGCAAGCAAAGCAAAAAATCACTTATTCATGCACCTCTGCTCATGAGGGAGTCTATCTCTGAAAGCTTTCCAGCATATTTTCATAGGTGCTAGAACTTCAGATTCAGATAGGATTCGGAGTGATGTCCAGCCAGCTAGATCTTTCTCTGTACTTTCTCAGGTTCACTATCAGTGACATTTCTCACTTTCTATCCTGTGCACTGCATTAGCATGCTCAAAGTGATCAGCAATCACAAGAAAAAGTGTACAGATGACAGATGTCTAATATATTGCTTCATGCCTCTTTCCACAGCCTCAAAACACGGTTTGCAAATGAGAGAGACAGGAAAAACAGGAGCCAGTAGCAGCTGTACGAATTTGAATCCGCCCCAAAGACCATTTAGATCTCCGGTTTCAGAGAATGGTGAGCAGGTAAGATGATGGGTGACCCTGTTCTAAATTCACTTGGGCCATGGGAAACAGCTCAGATTTAAGACAACCCCTGTCTCACTTGAACTAGAAGGTAAGGCATGCCCTGTCCCTGCACTGCTTTTCTCATCTAAGGGAAATGCAAAGGTGGAAAAAAGTGTGGCAGGAGAGATGGGCAGAACGGATGAGAACAAATCTGCTCCTTGGCATGGAGGGAGGAGATATGAGCCATCTGACTAAGCTGCTGGGTGGAGGCTAGGAAACACTGGCATTTTGGTTTGTCCTTTGTGACTGATATTAGAAGTCATGGTTAAATGAAGTGTGGCTGACTTGTGCGGTTTCTGTGGAAAGTTTCTGCTTAGGTGAAACAGAAGATGAAACATGAGTGATTAAATGCCAGGTTTTTTCAAGAGCTCCCCCTGACTTTCCAGCCTGGTGAGGACATTTCCAAGTGAGCAGCACTGAGAGTCTCATGAGAAAAGCTGGTCCTGTGAGGTGGCTGGGTCCCTTCTGCAGAACAACTAAGCGCTGGTTGAGCATTTATAGAGGGAAAAAAAAAAAAAAAAAAAAAAAAAAAAAAAGCCAGTCCATAGGGAAAGAAGCTGATTTTGCGGCCTAAATGTTGCACTAGTCCCCAGGAGATGCAGATTTAAGGCCAATTTCTATTGCAGACTCTCTGAAGAGGTATGAGCTAGTTGTTTGCCTAAGCTGCCTGTGTGTAACACTGGAAGAATAATACTTCCTATTACTCCTTTCCTGTCTTACTGAGATCATATTCCCTTCTGAGAAGGAAACATATATCAGTTGGTAGTGACATAAAGCTGAAACCAAGGAGCCTCAGTTGCAATCGATGCCTCTACACATTCATGTTATTGCATTCCTCTATGTCATTCTTTATTTCTTTTACATCACCCTTGCCACCATGGGGGGCCATAGTTCTTGGGATTGAGCTAGCAAGGTCAGGAAAAAAACAGTCTGGATCCCATCTCTCCTTTGTCCTTCTAAGTTTGCCATGTGATTTTCAAAGTTTCTGCTTACCTCTGAATCCTGATGGCAGCCTGTCCCTGGGACATTCTGCCTTCCTGATGAAGGATGTGAAAAACAGTTGTTATCATGTGTCTACCTCTGACATTCTGTTCCTTTTCCTGAGGTTGTAATAAACAAGTCTGAATTATTTGCCATACATTAAGCTTTTTTTTTCCTGCCTTTTTTTTTTTTTTTTTTTTTTTTTTTAAGAGAATATGCCAAAAGAAGGAAAGTGAGAGGTATCTTTTGTAGAACTTTGATAAGACCTGTGTGCCATGACTCAGGTGATTACCTAGGATCATTCATGATTATTCCTGGTACAAAACTTCATGCAGCCTTAATGACATGCTGAGACGATGAGCACCACCCCAAAAAGGCCCCTTTCTCTGCCCAGACAGCAAACAGGTTATTCCTGACACTTATTTCAGAAATAAAAGCACAAGCCCATTTAAAGTCTCCTTGAAAAAGTGAGCAGTGCCTTGTTTGACATCGCCAGCGGGTATTTGGATTGCTGCGACAGCACTGCTCCAACAGAGACTATTGAGTGATTCGTGCCTGTCCCTCTGCTTTATGTCACGGGGAGATTCACTGACCCAACTGCCCATTGTGGGCAAGAGCAAAAGGACAGTGCAGGAGATAGGAGGAACCCCAGAAGATGCATTGCATTTGGGTGGGCACCTCTTCAGCATTCAGCTTTCCCCCTGTACAATCCTCGAGCATTCACTGTGCTTAAAAACTGCACGTAGGAGAAAGAAGCAGGTTTTACGTGGCTACTGAGCCAGAATTGCATTCAAGGGGTGGAAGAAAGCCACGTTCCTGCAGTGCAAATGCTCGGTTCCTGATGACATTGCACAGGGCACAGAGTTTATGGCCTCCCTAATCCAAGTCCTTCTGTGAATTCCCCATCCCAGGTTCCTTCCCAATCCTGCTGCTCGCTCACCCTCTCCCTCCCCAGCCTAGGCTGGCCAGAGGGATGGTTCCTCCAAAGGCACAGATATGGCCAAGCAGATGCGTAGCCGATCACAGACAAATAAAAGGTGACTGGCAGCCTACTCCCTGCACAACAAATTAGAGGAACACAATCAGTGAGGGTTTGCTGGAGCTGCTATGTAATGAAGAGACTGAATGCATGCAGTATGAGCAATACTTGTCAGCAAGCTGCTGCATAAACCTAGCCAGCCATCTGCAGATGTGATAACCACCAGATCAAAAGCAAAGTAGCTTGCAGTGTTTTCAGTACCCAGATACTTGAGCCCTGTGCTAAACCCAGCACTTGTTGCATTTTATGTATTTTGAAGGCTAGCAGCAGAACTGGCCAGAAACCTGGTTTTCCCATTTAAAGCAGGCACAGTTCACTGCTGTGACAGAAGAGAGATGTGTATTTTCTGTTCCTGGTGTATCCTCTTACTCTGCCATCGACTCTGTTTGTTACCAGTACAATTCAGCGAGGGGTTGTGGTTGTGCTGCTCAGGGTTGGGGAGCTAAGCAGAATGACCTCGAGGAAATGGCTCTTTTTCTTTTAAGTCCTGACTGTGGGTTTTGGAGCTGTTTGCACGTGAGCTGTGGCACAGTGTTTGCTGAGCCAGGCCGTGTGAATTGTCCCATGCGGAGCTCCACCTCTGAATGCTCTTGTTCTGGTCTGTTTCTAATGATAATTGCTGTTGTATGTCTGGTGTTTGTGTCCCCGCGGAGACAGGTGAAATAAGACCAAGACTTAGTATGCACACCGTGCCTTACGTACGCGAGTGATTAATTTGGCCATCCACAACAGAGAACAATAATCCTGTCCCAAACAAAGCAATCAAAAATTGGTTTAGGCTACAGAAATTGCACTGTGGTAGCAAATCCATCAATAAAGGCAGCATTTGGACTTGGGGCTTTAACTGGCCCGGTGCCATCGTATGAACAGCCATGGAAAGAACCTTGTGTATAAATTGGGTGAGGAATTTTTAATTACTGATAGCTTCATTTTTGTTCGTCCATCCAAGGGAACTGAAAAGCCCATCCAGGCACGTACGTGCAAGTCCCCACATGGGGTCAGGCACACGCACTGCCTGCATTTCCCCTAGCATTTTCCAGCCAGTCCTGTTCTCAGCATTGCCACTTGCACAGCACATCGCCTCCCCCAGACATATACGATAAGTCCTTGTGATTAAATATTCCCCAGGCTTTCCATTTATACCTCGTGCTATAGATCTGCTGGACATTAGTGTGTGTATACATAGACATATATATTCGATTTATGGAAACTATAATAACCTTCAACGAGATAATCTCACCTGTCCCCAGAGTGTTAATCTTCATTTCCCACAGCCACTTTCTCTTAAATCTAACTAAAGGCTATTGGGGCTGGCAGGAGAACAATAGTGGCCTTCTCCTGCTCGGAGATAACAAGAGTGGAGCCCAGAAACTGAGAACGATGCCGCCAAGCCAAAGAATCCTGTATAAATTACACAGCCATCGTCAAGATTTCATGGAAGCTAATCCTATTTGTGTTTTGCTCTGTGTTTCTCGGTAGCCAGGCTCCTGCAGTAATTACACCTGGAACTTTTTCTTTCGTAAGCTGCTTTTTAAGAGTTCAGGGCCAAGGTCATGCTGCAGAGCTTCAGGTTAACCAAGCAGTGGCTTGAGATTCTGAGTGCAAAAGGTCTCATGTTTTGCTGTACACGAGTGCATTGGAATTATTATTTGAGTGGATTTGCAAGCAGTACAATATCATGGCTGAGTGTTCTGATAAGACTGAAAAGACACACTCAGAATATTTCGTTTTAGGAAACTAAAATTTGAATGTTTTAACTTGTTATCACGGTTCTTGTTTAAACCAGAGAAACTTGTCCATCCCCACAAGATGGAAACTCCATTTTCTAATGAGCCCAGGGGATGATTTCCCTTCCCCAGGATGCTGGGTGGACGAGAGGAGCATTCTTAGAGCACAAGTCAGGGCACCCGCTCCCAGATGCGCTCGTGATATTAAATCCGCTCTGCACTGTCATGACACCAGACAGACAGAGCCTTAGTGAAGCTTGTCTTAGGGTAAGAGCTGTCTTGACATATTTATGGAGTAATGTATGAAACGTTTTTAATTCCTGGCTGGAAAGGTGCTATTTAAGCCCTGTAACGTATGCTTGGTTTATATATGTTAAATAGGAGTCCAGTGAAAAGGAATCTCATTGATCCCACAAATAATTTATCATCAGGAATTAGAGAAGCTGGGAGTTTCTCACTTTAGAACTGTTGATTATAAAATAAACAGCAATTTTTATTGAGTAGCCATGGCTGTTCCCCTGTGCCTGAAGATACATTACTGACTACTGACTCTGCTCCAATCTCGCCGTGAAGCCAGTCAGTCAGCAGCATAAATCTTTCTTCTCCTCAGGTCACAGAACACTTCAGCTGCTTTTTTTGTTTTGTTTTGTTTTGTTTTGTTCCTTTTTCTTTTGCATTGTTTATAAACCTGCCAACATCTGAAGAAGGGACTTGTGTTTGTCCCAGAGGTCACGTATTGTACAACTCATTTACTGGTTCGGTAACAGACACTACAAGCTGTCTCGCCTTCAGTTTGCGCACTGGAACCACTTTCCTTTTGTAATTGAACCAGGCTCGTCCCCACGTGCGTGGTGAGACTTGTTAGGCACTGTGTCTTTGTCTGATCATGCTCTGGCAGTGCTGAAACAAATCAAGATATCTGGAAAAGCGGTTTGGGTCATATGGAACTGAGCACATCCCAGGAGATCGTTTTGCTCTGGAATTTCCACACCCAGCAAGCATGCCAGAGGTGATATTCAGTAGGAAAAGAGAGAAGGAAAAAAAAAAAAAAAGAAAGAGCTGTGCCACAATTTCTTTGTTTTTCAAAAAATTAGTATGGACAAAATGAGATAATGGGCCATACTGAGTTTCCTAAAGAGCTGATTTTACAAAATAAAATAAAGTAAGATAAAATTAAAAACAATAAACAAACAAACAAAAACAGAAATAAA